GGGTAATTGGGTACATGTACCCTTTAGATGTAAACCAAGTGGTACACCAAGGGGTACAAGTAGCATTATTCATTTTTAATTGGTTTTTCAAGTCTAGTTGTCAAAACCAAAGGTTCCAAGCTCCACAAAGTTCCACGAATCACTTAGTCTATAATGTTCGGCTAAGTGGAAAATGGTTGTGAATGACTCTAAGTGTCGGGATAGTTTATTGATAGGACTATCTTGATAAATGTAGGTGATTGATGAGCCGAGCCCTCGACCTACGTACCTGCTTTTGTGTGCAATATTCTACTCAGTTTTCAGGTGGGTAATTCTAATTTTCTATGCCATAAATTGTCTATATTTTGCTGGACGGTACGATAAATGTATGTGTGTGAACCATGTAACCTGTCGATGTGTGTTGTTTCGGCCGTCGACAAGATTGTCCCCGTGAATGTAATACGGTGCCTAATGAAAGGCAATCTTCCTAAGACCTAATGAAAGGTTGTGTCGTTGGTAATCTTGAGGCCTACGACATGTACTCCCACCGTTGAGTAATGAATCCCCTTCCGTGGCTAATGATAGATGTGCACAGGAGTATTGATGTGATTAGGAGATGTGATATGTTGATTGATTCATGTTCATGATGCGACCATACCTATCTGTCATTTTATATTTAATTTATGTGCATAGCGATGATCAAGTGGTTTTGTGCTCACTTCCATGTCTCTCCCCATTCCAGGTTGAGCAGGTGGCAGGCATGACAATGATGGGACGAGTGGCTGGTCTACATTTATGTTATTTTCTTCCACTTTTATGTTGAACATGTTGAATTGATTTTCAAACAATGATGTTTTAGAAAAATGTGTATTTTGTGGATTGAAAATCTATGAGTTGGTTTGAATTTCTATGTCATGAAACCTGATGAACTGGTTTATTATGCTGATATGCTTATGTTGCATATCATGTTGTATTGCTTGGGATAATGAAATCCATGTGAAAACCGGGTAATGAATCCCCGCTTGTTCAGTTATAACTTAGACTATGTTGTGAAATGATCGATAACGCCCATAAATGTGTTGAAATCGAAAAAATGAATTTCTAAAATTAAATCATGATTTTGTGGAAGTCCAGAATTTCTTTAGAATCAAAGTGGGGTGTTATATTCGGTCTCTTAATTATAAGTCGATTTGTGGTTTATAATACCCCAGTATTTAGTTGGATTGTTACATTATTTAATATTGATTGTTTTACTTCTTTTTTGTGTGATCACATAATTTAAACACGTGTTTTTAATTTTTTTTTTAAAATGTTCATAGCAATCATTGGAAAAAGTAGAGCTATCTGACACTGCCTAAATTCACTGGTGGTTAGGCTTTCAGGATATCCAACTGTTTAATGAGGCTTTGATTTGTAAACAACTATGGAGAGTCACTACCCAAACGGAGTTGTTAGTTAGTAACGTTTTAAAGAGTAAGTATATTCCACAGTCTTCAATTTTGGAAGCAGACAAGAAGCAAAGTGCATCATGGATATAGAAAACCTGGCAAACAATTATCCCTACCTTTTCTTAAGGATTGCAAGTGGAAATCAGGAATTGTAAAGCAGACTAAGTTTGAGGATGTCAATTGGATCCCAACCCTAGCAAAACAAAGGCCAAATCTAATAGAGATAGCTAGGGGTCATTTTATTTAGGTAAAAGACCTGATGAGTGAAGATGATACTTGTTGGAATGAGTGGCTTATCAAAGTGGTGTTCGGGGAAATGGACAGTGCAGCCATACTTAAAATTAGAACTTTGAATCCCAGTTTGGAGGACAAATGGAGATGGATCGTAGGCATGAGAGGTATTTTCTCAGTCTCTACCTCATATGCATACTTAATGGATCTGAAAATGCATACTATGGACATCCCAGAGGGCAATAACAGAGATTCCTTGGGACAAAAAGCTAGGAACAGACTATGGAAACTGATGGTCAAAGGAAAGATGAAACATTTCAATTAGAAAATTGTTGTACTGGCATATTGCCTGTTAAACTGAACTTGAGGAAGAGAGGAATGGACATGGGTTTCATCTGCTAAACTTGTGGGGAAGGTACAGAAACAATTGAATATGTATGCTTTCAATGTCCTAGAGCTACAAGGGTATGGGATCTGGGACTTGTCAAATGGGATGGGATCAACACTGAGATATGCTCTTCCAAAGAATGGTGGACATACATATGCTCAACTGGTAATGATGCAATCCATGAAAACATAATTCAATTATCCACCTGCCTTCTATGGTGGTTGTGAGTAACTCGCAACATGTGACTTTTTCAGCATGAAAGGATTCCAGAGCACTTGATCATTAAGGGTGCAGTAAGGGAATGGATAGAATTCTCGATGGCTCAAATATCCATATGATGGCAGCGGATGTTGTGTGGAGCAATCTCTATGTTTTTTTTTCATGTTCTGTTTTAGTTGGTTTATGTTGTAGGTTGGTTTTCTTGCTTAGGCTTTGTTGTTTGTTGAGTGGTAGCCTTTGTTCTTGTGTTTTAGTGTGTAGGTGTTTGCAGGTTTTGTGAGTTTGTTTGTATGGTTTGGCTAGGTCCCTTTGGACAGTAGCTGGAGTGTGGTTACTTGGGCCTGTTTGGGTAGACTAAGGTTCCGGGTGGATCATGCCTTAGCTACGATTTGTGGTTTGAGTCTCTAAGGGGAAACTCTCATAGCTGTAAATCGATCCCATCACCATCAATGAGGAAGAAAGTGAAAAGCGAACCTGGAAGGAAATGAGAGTCAAACGCTTTTCGGCGAGGATTCCATTTCGTTTCCCTGAGTACCTCTATTTCTTGATGCGCTTTCTGGCCTGGTCAATTCCTCTGAGGAATAGCATCTATTTTAGTTCTGTTTCGAAACCCTATTTGAATTGGATTCACTCGTCCTTTGTGCGTGTCCTATCATTTTCTTTAGTGGGTGAGTTGGGTATTTGCCCGTTTGTATTGGAACTTTGTATTCGCGGTTTTCTTTGCTATAATATCCCTATCTTTTCGGTAAAAAAAGATAAGCTCTCATTAACAAAAATGCTATGCAATGTGCTGTAACAGTTCAATATTTCGGCAACAAAAAAACTTATTTTTCCATAAACTATAGATGCTAAACTTAAATTATAAATACATGAAATCTCTTTTTTTTTAAAAAGAAAAAATTGATTGTGATATGGATTCTAAGTTTTAATAAAACGTTTTTTGTTGTACTTAAGTTTTTAAAAATTTGATAGTACAAATATCAATATTCACTTTTATATACATTTTTATATGAAATGAATATTTTGACAAACTCATTATAACATTTAAAGTCGATTCCCCTGAGTAAAATTTGTAGATCTGTCACTGTTGAGGATAGTGAAGTTATGTTTAAATTAATTTAATTTGGAGTTTTGATTAATTTATTGTTATTTATTTATTTTGTTAAATTTATATTCAATCACACCATATATGCGTGTCGAAATTATTAAGTGAAAAGTATTTGTGGAGAATCCATCCAAAAAATTTTGAATGACTAAACTCGTTAAAATTTTAAACAAAAATTTTTAAACAAAATCCCTTAGATCCCCTTTTCGTCGACTCCAATATTCCTCCTTAATCGGCCTTGTCTCCGGCAATAACTGGTGTGCTTCTTCCGGTAGGGACTGGGAGGTGCGCTGTGTTAGAGTAGGATACCCGGCGTTCCAATCAGATTGGACGTATTCTACTTGTAAATACAATCTATTGGAATTATATTAAATAATAAGGCATTACTTTATTTTAAGAGTAAGCATTTATCATATATTTGCACTTAAGATAAAATCTCTAGATCACTTATAGCTATAAGATATAGTTGCGCATAGAGATGGTGATCATGGAACATATCTTGAAAGTTGTGATCTTAAATACAGTTCCAAGTCGTTGGATATTTGGAGATGGGATATCGAATAAATCCAGAAAAGACTTGCACATAGTATGTATGTTTATTGGATAAGAATGTTGCATTCCATCAACATTAGCGTGGGACGCAAATACATATATGTGGGTGCTTGTTAGAGAACAAGTTCACTGAACATGACCGTATGAAAATTCTTAATGAAAGTTTATCATGTCGAATAAGAATTTTCATGTTACAATAGTACATGATTAATCCTTAGACTTGAGGCACGATGGTAACTTTGTGCACATTATATTTAACATTGATTTATTCTTTTGATTGCTAGCACAATCGTATAAAGGGATATTTTGGGTATTATATTAATATGTATGGAAGTTTGTCAGTGGCTAACAAAGGATTATGGAATCATAGTTATTAAATCAATTTGGGTTTCGACAAAATCATACCCAAAGATTTAATCGGGAAATTGGATGTCGAAAGGATTTTACATGTATGAACTTGTAATCGAAATAGGTTTACTCGCTATTCACTTAATACTAGATTCGTGCTACTTGCTAGATGTTCCCATGATATGTGGGTTCTTGAATTGAAGAGTTAATTCAAGAATAAGAGTTAATATGAATAACTCAAATTACAAAGAGTTGTAAACCCACTACTAGTATTAATTGTAAACCTAAAAGGTCACACCAATTTTTGAATGAAGGTAAAATTCAAATAGTATTTCTAAAGAGTTAGAATTAATTGACAAATCTAATTTGATTAGATATCAATTAAAGGAATATATTAAATTAATCAATTAGATTGATTAATTAAATTTTGGATATTAATTTAGTAATTAATAGAATTACTAATTAATAGTTGGAATTTAAAATTGGATTTTAAATTTCAAATCCAAATAATAATAAGATTAAAATAATAAAGTCTTGAAAAATGTTTTCAAGAATTATTATTTTATTATTTATCTTTAATATGATTGAAGATTAAATAATAAGAATAAATTAATTATGGTGGTTAGGAGTTGTTAACTAATCCACATAATTAATCTTATTTTTATTAATACAATAATAATGATTGATGGTGGTTATAAACCAATCACATTATTAATTAAAAGTCAATATTTGGTATGATTATT